TCATTGGGGCATTACCCAAAAACTATGGGGCTCCCCTCTCTTGGGCTGCTCTGATGAAAATGCAGTTGTTATCATAAAAATGATGTCTGCATAACTTATGGCTTCATTTTGGAAGATTAACTCTCATATTTTTAAATTTTAAAACTTATTTTTTCGCCCGCGGAAAATTTATTGGAGCTGTGGACCTGGGGCTGAAAAATGTCCGGTTTAACCCCGGGGCCGGGGCCTGGAAAAAACGGGGGGAATTGTCTGCCCCCTGGGGGTTTTGCTGGGTTCACAACCAAAAAACATTCCCCTTTCGTTGGGGCCCTTTAGAAAGGCCCCTTAACCCCAAAAACATCTCTCACCCAAAGGGCGCTGACTGGCTTGAACCTGTGGGGGTCAAAACTGAAAGTTGGGGTTGCTTTTGGGGGGGTTTTAAAACGGGGGCAGAAGACCTTTTGTTTTTTTTTAACAATGGACAAAGTTGTTTGTTATAATGTATTGTTTTATAAAGTTTTCCCGATTTGACGGGGGGGCCACTTTCAACAAAGAGTGCCTCCCGGGCCAACATGTGTTTGCACAAACCAAGATCAATTCTACCCCCCCTACAATATTTTTTATACACGTCCTTTTTTTATAATAATAATAATAATAATAATATAAAAATATAATATTTTCACTTACATTTTGGTAGATATCTCAACATCTATGTGTTTACAGTTGATATTCCGATCTGATCTTTTTTAATCCCCCCCCCTCTGCTACTCCCGCCCCGCCCATATCTCCTTAGAAACATCCTTTTTTTGTTTCCACCTCCCCTTTTGTTAACGTTTTGTGATGTCATACATGCATTTTTAAACCCTTTCTGTCGCAAGAAAACCACAGCAAATTTTAAAGGTCAAATTTTTCATAAGAGATTTTTCTTTTTGGATTACTGACTATGGTTTTCCCAATCCCCCGTTCGACAAAAACCTATAAAGGTTTCTATATAGAACTTTTATGGTTCCTATATTAAGCCTGATGCCTTTTTTTTGGGTTAAAAAAAGGAGGAAGTGTGTTTTTTGCGGTTTTGTCAAAATTCCCTTGTACCCCGTCGATTGTCTGGTTCTGCACCCCTTTGCCCCCGGTAGGTCTGATTTCGTCATCAAAACTTCCCTGTTTTTGTGTTGGGATGGTAAAGATGTGGTGTGTGTGTGGGTGTTGGGGTGTGTGTTGGTGTGGTGGGTGTGGTGTGTTGTTTGGGGGGTTTTGTGTGTGTGTTGTCGGTGGGGCATCCACATATCACAGTCAAATTACAGATACAAAAAATTTATTCCAGTATATGGTTTTTGCAAAAAAAAAATTCATACACAAAAAAACTATTAATTTTAAACTTTGAACAATTTTGACGACCATAAGTCCCTAACAAAATTTTTGATGTAAAAAAAAACGGAATTTTTTTGGGGTAAAGTTTTTTTGAATAACTCCTTATAATTCAACCATTTTCTAAATCTTAGCTTTGGGATGTTCCCAGGACCATTTAGAGGCAGGGCCCCCCTCCTCTCTCCCCCGAGAGACTCATTTTTGGGCAGGGCCCCCTCCTCCCTCCCCCGAGAGACTCATTTAAGGCAGGGCCCCCCCCCTCTCTCCCCCCGAGAACTCATTTTTGAGGAGGGCCCCCCTCCCTTTCCCCCAAGAGAAATCATTTTTAAAGGGGGGTCCCCTCCCTCTCTCTCCCGAGGACTCTTTTGACCACTGACCCCTAAACAGAATTTTCAGCATGTTGGTTGTGGGAACACAGTGAAACTTTATTTAAAGGGCCCTTGTTCATTTTTAATTACTCTTTAAATAAAATTTTTTCTAACAGATATCCCCCAACAGTGAGGGGGGTTAAGCAACCAAACGTAGCATACTGATATTTTTTTACCTTTCTCCAGGTGAAGCCATAAAAAAATAAATAATAATAAAAATAATAAAATAATAATAATAAAATAATATTAAATAAAATTTAATATAATAATGTTTAAAATATAATAATAAACATAATATGATGGATCCATTTCCCAAAATATCTTTAAATTTGAAGTAACTGGGTTCCCCAATTTTTGACCCCCCTTTATAAAGGAGTAAAAAAGACGTATAAATAAAAATTCAAATACTGGCTTAAATTGTTGCCAACATGGACATTAAAATTTTTTACAAAATACGTTTGCTCAGAGAAAAAATTTTTTTTTAACAAGTAAAAATTTTTTTTTTCCAAAAGGGTAGGGGTCAAATTGACCCCCCCTTTCAAACCCCTTCGAGGATAAAGGCACGGGGGCCTTTTTTTAAAATGTTTTATGAGTTGGAGAACCATTAGGGGGTGATCTTAGACAATTCCAATTTAAATCCTTCCAAATGGTCAACTCAGGGAAGGTAAAGGGACACTAAACAAACTAAGAACAAATTCCCTAATTGACAGAGGCTTATTCTTAGTCTTTTTGCACCGGCCCCCTTTCCCGCTATCCCAATGTAACATTTTTAATCATAACTAAATAACCCTGGGGGTCCCCTTTCTACATCCCCGATACTTCTAACAACATCATCCTAAATAATCCCCGGTAGGATCCTTTCCTTGCCCTGAAATTTAAAACCGAACATGTCAAAACAGTGATTTCCTTTTTGCGAGAAAAAACCTTGGGAAAAGTTTTTTTCACCTCCCCCAAAGTCAATGCTTTGTGTAATTTTTGTTACTGATTAAAATTTAAATCTGCTAAAATCTAGACATGACCCATGTAAGAAAAATTTAGAAAACCAAATT